AGAAAACCAGTCGGGGGGGGGTGGGGGGGGGGGTTACCTGTTTCAATCCATAAAACACAAAGGCAACAGCAATGTAGTCTACTCAGACAGGAGACACAGTTCCACCAGCAGCTGTTCACCAACTGCATTTAGAAACACAAATGCACCATAGAGCACTGCAGGCTGCTCTCCAACACAGACAAACAGTCCTCGCTCCCCCAGAAAAACCCAACAGAAAATGTACAAGCAAAACGTCATCTATATTCTAAAGGAGAAAGAAAAAACAAGGAAAAAACAAAACAAAAAAAAACCCTAAGTACTTTTCCAAGACTACTATCGTAAGAAGCTATTTCACAGAAGCTTGTAAAAAGCATTAATATTGTAATAATTCTCACCACAAAAGCTACCACACAAACCTCGAACACTGAGCATGTGTGTGAAATTACAGAGCACAAGGCAACAGCCAAGCCAGGCAGAGGATGCAGTAACTGGAATAATTACAAAGTTTTCCATCTCAATGTACCAGATGATTTCTGGTGTAAGGGTGGAACCAAGTCAAATTCAAAGGTACAACATGGCTAAAAATGTCATTTTCAGTACAAACCAGATAGATACACTTACTCAGTGCTGTACGTAAAGTAACTGTACTACAGATATTGGTATTCATCATGTGAGCTGGAAGAATGAAAAGAATGTGAAATCAGTAATTGAGAGCAAAACTAATAGCAACAAAGTACTCCAGAAATGCTGGAAGTGTCTTTCCTGAGCATTCCTGTCAGGATTTGAGAGAGAAACTCGCAATCCACCACAGTCTACAGATAGGGAATACCGCAAATACTCCCTCTTGTCAACCACAGTGGTCTCCACCAAAATAAAAGTAAGACTAGAACCAGCCACTAAAATCACAACCAAAGCATGTTGTTGTTCTTCCAAAGCAAGTCAGTTTTTCTTTGGATTAATTACAAAGAGATTATCAGTAGCAACATGCCCTACAAACCAACTATTTCAAAAGCAGATGACTCTGGACAACAGCAATTCACTGCAATAGGTAGAACAACATCAACTGCAGTTAAAAGAATAAAGAAGGGGAAAAAAAAGAGAGGAGGGAAGATGGCAAAAAAAGAAAGAGAGATGACAGAGACATGTTCCCTAGTTACCTTGGATGAAATTACATTTTCAGTGTACCACATACATTAAATATACCCTGTCTTTTAAAGTTATAAAATACAAAACTGAGGTGAGTTATCCTAGTGCTTTAGCTTTATCAGGGACAGCTGCATCATTCCCCTATTCAAGGGGACAGAAAGTCAGCCTTAAGAGTGACAATAGCCAACACTATATATCCCATTTTTATCCCAGTCCCTGCAACAGGACTGGGAGCACCCAAGCCCTTGGGGTACACCAGCAAAACCTTCTGAGGAAAGCACTGGGAAGCACAGTAAGACATATGCTATTTTCTTGTGAAAATGCAGTTAAAAATATAAAGGTGGAAAGTGAAATGTGGAAAAAGCTGGGAGAAAATGAGGATACATGATAAAAGGACTAATATAAAAGCTAACGGTGCTTAGTCAATAAGAACTGGACAACAGCCTTCTCCTATTTGAGTAATAAAAGTCACACACTTTGACCTTATGTCAAGAGCACCACACAGCTGAGCATGCAAGACAAGCTTTGAGAAACAAGGAAGCAAAGCTGGAAGAGATGAAGATCTAAAGCACCTGCAGAAATGCATGGCCCCATCTGCACCCTTTCCAGCAAGTTTCAGCTGGTTAGGAGAATGTAAAATCCCAAATGTAGTTCTTCCTCACGTTTGTAAGACTGCAGAAAGAAGGGAAAAGCAAGAGAATGGGCATGGTCCCCATATTTATACTGAACAAGGGAAGGTCCTACACAGTAAGGATGGCTAAGGTGAGAA